GAAGGATTAGCTGTTGCTAGGTGAGAGGTTGGCTGTTGCTAGGCAAAGTGGCCCTCTGAGATGTCACTGAGAAAGACAAGTGACATATATAGGAGGGGAAGGGAGCGAGAGAGAGAGAGGAAGGAAGGAGAAAAAGGCAGTTGTTAGGTGAAGTGGCCCTCTGTGATGGCACGAGATTGACTATTGCAAGGTGAATAATGGGCTGCTACTAGGTGAAGTGGTCCTCTGTAAGGTTACTGGAAAAGAAAGGCGATATATGTATGAAGGGAAGGAAGGGACGGAGGGAGTGAGGGAGGAGAAAAAGAGGAGAAAGGAGAAGGAAGTGAAGGGGAAGGAAAGGAAAGAGGAAAAGGAAAGACTACCAGTTTCATTCCATTATTTTGCAGCAGCCACATGCCCCTTGCTGCTGTTCCTATATTATCCTGGAGAAATCTAAGATATATTCATGTGCAGCTTGGTTAAAAAAATTGTACACTTGATCTTGCGGTATTAGTTCTGTTGTTGTTGCTTTGTTCTGGGACAGCTGAAATAATATTCCAATGGATTTGGAAAACAAAGAGAGGGAAGCTTTGATTTTAAGAGAAAACCCACCAGGGCGAACATTTCCAATAGCTCTGCCAGTTTTTGGAAACAAAAGCTAAAACTACTGTAGTTTTTTGAGGACTGAAAAACACCAAACCACTGTCATATAATGCAAAATGCAATTTCATGTCAAACTACTGCACAGATGGTCATTTATTTGCCCCGTTTTTGTTACTTAAATACCATAAAAGCTCAAAATCTAAACAGCTTTCCAGGTTGCTTTGAAACCAAAGTCAGCGTCTGCCTTCAATGGTTAAGGATTATTCTATAATCACATTATCTAAAAAAGTTTTCCCAGTCTTAGATGTAAATTCATTTAGATAATTTTTCCACCTATTAATTATGTTTAGCTTCCATTTGTTCAAGAAACTTCTGTACAGGAAGGAAGGGAAGGAGACTGGATATATTTTCCATGAGGCCATCTGGTTGCAAAAGGATTTTCCATTGTTAAAAATCAAAAGGTATATTGCAAGTGATTAAACCTTGAGAAAAATATATATGTAGATTTTTTTTCTCCTTTTGCGTATAACTTCCACTTTGTTAACAGATACCAAAACCAATGTGGCAAGGATTTATAAGTGGCGTTGATTAAAGATTTCCCCTGACGCACTTCCTGTGGACTGAGAACAATGGAACTTGGCCCAGTTATTAGTCCTTCTCTCCATAGGTGCCACCTTGGGACACACTTCTCCCATCTTTTTGAGCAGCTGGGAACACCTTGCTTGTAGAAGTCGACAGGTTGCTCCAAAAGCCATGTTGTGACTTCAGAAATCAGAGTCTCATCATCTGAAAAATGCTTGCTCTTCAAAAATAACTTCCTTGTTGGAAAGAGGTGGAAGTCCAATGGAGCGAGGTCGGGAATAAGGGGGATGTGGTAGAATTTCAAAGCCACGGGAGCATGCTTCCATTTGGGCAACAGGTGAATTGTGAACTGATGCACTGTCTTGCAGAAGGCAGAAACATTTGGTGAACATGCCACATCTCTTGGTTTTGATGGCCTTCCACAATTTCTGCAGCAGTGAAGCATAGTATGCCCCAGTGATCATGGTCCCCTTTGCTAGGAAATCCACCGATACTACTCTGTGCTGGTCTCAAAATACTGTGAGCATGGCCTTGCCTACCGAGAGTTGGGCAAGTGCCTTCTTTGGAGGTGGTGAGTCCAGATGCTTCCATTGCATTGACTGGACTTTAGTCTCAGGATCAGAGTGATGGATCCAGCTTTCACCCTGTGTGATCAGTCTGTTGAAAAAGTCTTCCTGGTTTCCATGGCACAACATTGTCAATACAGCCTGAGAGCACTCGACTCGTTCCTGCTTCTGGAAAGGTGTGAGCAGCTGGGGGACCCAGTAAGTGGATACCTTATGTATGTGAAGAGAGTCTTGGATGATTTTTTTTCCATGGACTCCACACTAATCTTGACATTTTCAGCTAAGTGGCAAAAAGTTATGCAGCGATTTTCCAAGATGGCAACCTTCACTTGCTGGATAGTGTGGGGTTGCCCCAGAATTTGAGCTGTTTGCACCAAAGTGCGACCACATTGGAATTAACGATGCTAGTTCTTGACTCCATCATCTGATGGGGAATCATCCACATAAACCTCTTTCATCTCATCAAATGTCTCCTTTGGTGTGTGGCCTTTCAAGTCAAGGAACTTGATGACTGCTCTGAATTCCACTGGGTCCATTATCAAACCTCACACCACTTCAGCACCTGTACAATCAAGACTGTTCTCAGTTCTGAGTTGTAAATTGGCACGGAACCTATAGAGACTTATATCATTACACATGTGCAGTTTCAGCATCCTGTGATAAATGGGTCAGAAGACATCTTTAATGAACACCCCTCATAACATACTGAAAAAGCAACAATACAGATCTACAAAGAGATCAGAAGTTAGCCAGGTGACTGTTATTCCTCTTCGAATCCTTTCTCTTCTTTGCCCTAGTCACACTGTACAACTCCTCCTAAGGACAATGTTGACCAATATTTACTTTTTACCAGGATCTGAAAACAGTTTCACAGCCTTAGGGAGAGGCATCCTGGGCTTTCAATAGCTAAAGACTAGTCCATAGCTTGCTCTCCCTTAGATTGGTATTTTAATCTGCATGTCCTTGCTTTATTGTAGCCATTGTATTTTATTCCCCAAAGTTGCCTTGAAGTGGTACAACGAAACCTCTCTCTATAAAAGTCAAAGTGCGTTTGTTTTGTCTGTCTGTTTGTACTACAAAGGCTGTTGCTAGGTGAAGTGTCCCTTTGTGATGGCACTGTGAAAGAAAAGGGACATGTATGGGAGAAAAGGAGGAAAACGCCACAAAGAGCCATGTTGCCATGGAGTCATTGTGTGGTAGACCCTCAGAGCTGGAGAAGGGAAAAAGAGGAGGGGAAGGAAAGACAGAAAGAGAAAAAGAAGGGAAAGAAAAGGAGGGAGAGACAAAGGGAGGGAAGGAGAAAGAAAGAAAGAAACAGAAGGGAAAAAAGAGAAAGAAAAGGGGAAAAGGCACGAGAAGGAAAGAAAGAGAAAGCAGGGATAAAAGCAGCAGTCCATCTGATGCCTGGGCATCAGCAGCAGTCCATCTAGTGCAGGAGTCCTCAAACTAAGGCCTGGGGGCTGGAGACGGCCCCCCAAGGTCATTTGCCTGGCCCTCACTTAGGGTCAACTTAAGTTTGAAACGACATGAAAGTCCACAACAACAGCAACAATCCTATCTCATCAGCCAAAAGCAGGCTCACACTTCCTATTGAAATACTAATAATTTTACATTTGTTAAAATTATTCTTTATTTTAATTATTTTATTGTTTTAAGTGTTTTTTGCACTACAAGATATGTASAGTGMGCATAAGAATTCATGTTTTTTTTCTTCAAATTATAATCTGGCCCTCCAACAGTTTGAGGGACTATGACCTGGCCCTCTGTTTAAAAAATTTGAGGACCCCTGCACTAGTGTATATATTGAGAGGATYTATAGGTTGCTTCTCCAGGACCAAATCCTCCCAAGCCACTTTATAACTTATAATTAGCTTTAAATACATAGCAGAACAAGTTATGCTTCCAAATGACTTAGGATACTTCATCAGGTCACAATGTTGTCAATCTGTTTACTGAATACTCTGACTTGGATGTCAGAGTGTTCCAAAAAAGYAATAATTTRCTTGCATAATGTCAAACCAGACCAGTGGTTCCCAACCTTTTTTTTTTTTTATCCAGGGACCGCTCTCCAACATCAGTACCAAAAGGGTTACAAATCAGTTTACATTCGGTTTGGTTATTTGGGGTGCTGATTCAGAAAACTGCATTGGATAGATCCCATCAGCTCTAGTTTCTGGTACAGAACATATGCCATCCAGTAGTTGCCATCTGCTTGCCCACAGAAAACCATATTTAATAAGCATTGGCACTATAAGAGGGTTTTGTGAGACTATTCACTCTTGTTGCAACAGTGTAGTAACGGTAAGGCCGTGGACCATATTTTAGTTCTCGTGGACCACTGGTGGTCCACAGACCACAAGTTGGGAACCACTGAACTAGACAGATATTGTTACATTCTCCTTCTTGAGAAGACTTGAAAACATTGGCCAAGTGACATGTCCCAGTTCTCTTGGGTTTACAGGCCCAATTAAGTAAGATTCAAATCTCTGGTGCTCCCGAATCTATTTTTACTAAGCGTCATGCCCATCCATGTGGAACTGGGAAGGGGGCAACATTCCTTGTGGTCATTCCAGCCTTCAGGCCTATGGCTGATGCCCATACATGGCATGCATCATAGCTGACTCCAGCAGCTATTCTTCAGTGGAAAGGAATTGCAGCCTATTCTAGAAAGTTTCCTTCCTTCCTTCTTTCTTTCTTTCTTTCTTTCTTTCTTTCTTTCTTTCTTTCTTTCTTTCTTTCTTTCTTTCTTTCGGGACACTTCCATGAAGTCAGGACTCTGTGGTAATTTCATCCAGCCAATCCTCTTTTCTCTACAATGCTCATTGTTTGTGGTAAATACAACAATACATTTTCATAGCTTATGATGGAGGGTTTTTGCTTGGAATACGCCCACACGGCTTTTTAGTCCCTTGTAGCCTGTAGACAGAAATAGAACGAAACAACTGGTGGCAAGGTTCTGCGGACCAAGATGGCAAAGAGGCAGCTGCCAATGACTCAAGCTGGTAAAGGGCAGCCAGGAATGGGAATCAAGACTCAATGTATGCCCTGTGATGTGGGTTTTCACAAAAGAGTACAACTGGAAAACACTCTGGAAAAATTTCCCACATTCTAAATAAATGTTATCTCACCTACCACATTTGATATACATATATTCAGAGGCATTCATAGCTTTGTATAAAAATGATGTTACTGGAATAATTGGAGATGAGATCGAGACAGACATCCTTTATATTTCACAAAAGAAACAATTCCACTTAAAAGGTGGCATACCTAAAGAGTTTTCACTTTCTTTGGCTGAGCTACAGGAGCTGCAGGACCTTCAGTTTCATTGACTGGTGCTCTTTTCATTTCAAGCTGGAGAAATAAAAGATTAAGTACAAGTATCTGAATGTTCTATTTCACTACAGGATGGCTGTAAGTCTATGGGGAAATGCAACCTATTCTGTGCCAACTACTTATTGAAAAATGAATGATGTTGCGAAATAGGGACCAGCTTAGCAACACATTTATTTGACAGCGCTGGCCAACCGACACACATTTTGATGCCTCCAATGTTTCTAAGTATATCTGCCCTGCTGATTCCAAAAATGGCACCAGTTTCCCCCTATCATCTCTAGGTTTTGAGATACAGAACATATGCCGTCTATCAGTCATCATTTGCTCGCACATAGAAAACCAGGATATCCATATCAAAGAAACTAGAGCTGATGAGGTCTGATCTTTTTGTTTTTTAATTTATTTTATTGTTTTGCCCCACTCCCACCCTCCACCCTTTCACCTGATGAGGTCTAATCAAAACAATTTCTTAAATCAGTGCCTCAGGAGCAGCCCTAAACACCAAGACAAAAAATATCATTTTGGTCTGTGTAGTTCATTCTTCTAAATACCAGGATTTGTTTAGCCTTCATAAATTATATTTTGTCCATCTAACACAGTGGCTCTCAACCTTTCTTTGACCAGGAACCACTCTCCAACATTAGTACCAAAAGGGTTACAAATCAGTTTTTGGTCAACTTTAGATTCAGTTTGGTTATTTGGGGTGCTGATTCCGAAAATTACATTGGATAGACCACATCAGCTCTAGTTTCTGAGACAGAACATATGTCATTCAGTAGTCGCCATCTGCTCACCTGCAGAAAACCATATTTCATAATCTAGTGCTGATGTGGTAGTAGTAATTGTGGGTAGTCAGCCTCTCTCCTCCCAACAACCCCGTTGCCCTGGCACTATAAGAGGGTTTCACGAGACCAGTCGCTTTCGTTGGCACGTGGTTTCGAGGCAACAGTGTGTGTAGTAATGGTGAGGCCGTGGACCATATTTTCATTCTTAGGGACCACTGGTGGTCCACGAACCACAGGTTGGGAACCATTTATCTAACATGACTGCAGTACAGTAGCCAAGATAACGATGAGCAAATCCACTCAAACACACATATACAGGCACACATATTGGGAAATTTTCCATTCTATCTTTCTGTAATTCCCTGTCAATCTCAGAAGGTGCTTGCTTACCTGTAATTTCTGGGCTTTGTTAGCTGGAATCCCTAAGAATGGCCTGTGGCAATGTGTGGCCTAATGTAGAAAGTCTGCGCTCAGATATGGAAAGAGACCCCTGTGCCAATGGCCTCTATGCCTGGCAGCAAATAGGAATACCAGGTGGGTCATCTCTTGTCCATTAAGGCTAAGAGCACAGCCTTCTGCCACTTGGGACCTTCTACTGACTGCTTTGGGGGCTTCACAGTTTCCAGTCTCTGGATGAAGCAATTGTTCTCAAAGGCTTCTGAATTAGACAATTTGGGTTTAGATTCCAAACCCTTCCACTGCTCCGATTTGGGCAGTGACGACCCTGATATATCTTCCATTGTTCCACTTTTGAAATGTCCCAGTTTCCCTCTCTTCCTCTCTCGTTGTCCTCTGTTTACTTCAAGAACTAAGTTAAATAGGTTGTCGTAGGGCTTTTTTGGCTATATGGCCATGGTCTAGAGGCATTCTCTCCTGACGTTTCGCCTGCATCTATGGCAAGCATCATCAGAGGTAGTGAGGTCTGTTGAAACTTGGAAAAAGAGGTTTATATATCTGTGGAATGACCAGGATGGGACAAAGGACTCTTGTCTGCTGGAGCTAGGTGTGAATGTTTCAACTGACCACCTTGATTAGCATATAATGGCCTGACCATGCCTGGAGCAAACTTTTGTTGACAGGTGGTTATATGTCCTTGTTTGTTTCCTCTCTGTTGTTGTGCTGTTGTGATTTTAGAGTTTTTTAATACTGGTAACCAGATTTTGTTCATTTTCATGGTTTCATCCTTTCTGTTGAAACTGTCCACATGCTTGTGTATTTCAATGGCTTCTCTGTGTAGCCTGACATGGTGGTTGTGAGAGTGGTCCAGCATTTCTGTGTTCTCAAATAAAATGCTGTGTCCAGGTGGTTCATTAGGTGCTCTGCGATGGCTGATTTCTCTGGTTGAAGTAGTCTGCAGTGCATTTCATGTTCCTTGATTTGTGTCTGGGCTCTGCATTTGGTGGTCTCTATGTAGACTTGTCCACAGCTGCATGGTACACCTTAAAAGCGCAAAGTTAAAAGCGCAAAGTTAAAAGCGCAAAAGTGGTTGCCCCTTTCCTGTAGATTTAGGCAATAGCAAACCAGCATAAGCTCTCCTGGATTGTGTGTTTGTCCTACTCAATAACCTTTTCCCTCTTGAGTACATTCTGATACTATAGTTGGTCTTTCCTGAGGAAACTTCAAAGAAATGAGATTTTGCCTATAGCTCCAGCTTGGTCTTGACCCTGATCTGCAAAGTATTAAACACGGGGGTGGCAGACTGCAGGAGAGAAACATTAATATGACTGAATTATGCATGTTATTCAACACAGCCATGAATCAAATTCTTGATATCTTAAAAAACAACCTTCTTTTCCAAGTTTGACACTGACTAAGTCCTAAGAAAATTAATGCTGTTTTTATATAGAGAAGGGGGGGGGGGGGGAGGGAAAGAACTATGTGTGTTCTTAAGAGTGAGAGAGAGCAAACACTTTTATAAAAACCAAAGCTGTTGGTATCTGAGTCCCATAGGAAATCAGCAGTACGTGGGAGGTCTGCGTTCTTGCAGTAAGATGATTTGGTTTCATTTCCTTGCTTCTTTACAATTATTTGGCCAACTTTATATAGTAATGAGCAAGACTAACACAGCACAAGGTCAAGCGAGCTTCATCATTTTCTGAAACATTTAAACTGATGGCGCCGGGCCAAAATTCTTCTGAAGTGTGCATAAATAATAGACGCACATCATCATTCCTGAGAGAAGATGACAGATCCATTGCATCAAGAACTTTATAAAACTCAAGCTCCAAATTAAAAGAGGAACAATGCAAAATCCTAGCGTGCGGCAAAGACCATCCAAATTAAAAGGCACACCGTTATGCTGACAATGTTTTTAGCAATTAACATTATCATCAGAGGCAGATCTCCCGTCTAAGCAATCGTCAGCATTTGTTTTTTTAAAAAATCTGCACAAAAGTCTCAACTTCAGCATTTTTCCAGGACATGAATCCTCCTAGTCAACATACACAACGCAAATTGATTCAGCATTAAAACAATTAGATCTGGCAAATGACGATTTAATTTCTCAGTCTGTTACTCTTTGTCTTGCATTTTTAGTCATTTTATTGACACAACTGGCTTGTTTTAAAGTGACACATTATTTAGCTGAATGCCACTTGTGATCTGGGCCTTTTGTCAACTTCTCCACTTTTATAGACTAACGGGAATATTTAAATGCACCAGCAGACAGGGCAGGTAACTTAAGTATCCCAAGAATTTCCAGGGTCTGTTCAGTTTGCTTGTTTGTTTGCTTGATTTATTTATTTCCACTTTAGGACAATGATGGAGAAGACAGAACACATTGTTTTCTATAGATAGGCTGGATTTCTGCTGAAAGCAATCATATACCAAAGACTGTAAGAGGAAGTGGAGGAGGGTGAGGAAAAGAGGGAGGAGTGAAATCAGCTAACTCAGGTGTCTGTGATGGGATTTGTTGCCTCTTTTCTTCTTTCTTTTCTCTTCCTCAGTCTCTCTCCTTCTCTTTCTCCCGCCAATTCGTACCTCAGTTTGTGCAAGTATATTAAATTCCATTTCAGTTACTGTGTTAGCGCAGCACATCTTGGATCACTTATGTTTTTGGCTTCCTGGATGAAGTTGTCTTAAAGGGAATGCAAGATGCTAGCAGCTTTCAGAATTGCTAATCTCTTCCATGCTTTCCCCCCAACATTTATAGTAAAATCAAGCTGGTGATGGGCTGTCAAAAACCCAGATGAATGCTATGGTTTAAATAACAGGAAGCTGTTTTGGAAAATCTGATAATTATAGATGGACAACAGTTCAATTAGCACCTCCACTGTTTGGATAATTAGTATGCTCATTATCACAGCCCCAAGCATGCCTTTTTTATTTTGCACAAATGTCTGAAGAAGTCCATTCTCATGAAAGCAACCATCTATCAAACAAAATCACTGAAGAAATATTTATTGAACTGAAAAACAATCATGTGAAGATAATAGGAAGGTTGGGGACGTAGCAGATTGGCAGTGCAGTTTCTTTTTATGACCATGATGCATTGGAGAGCCAATGGTTTAGTTAGTCCTTATCTTGCTGAAATAAAATAAAATTCAAATGAAGGCAGAACAACATAAAGTGTTTCCAAAGCTTTAGGTTCTGTTCTGTATGTGCTAAGGATGAGTAAATGATGAAACTAGCAATTAACAAACCAAAGTAAACACAAGTATTGAAAGATGCTTTGGAGCAGGGAAGAATGCCTTCAACAGATGAGAATCCTAATAAAAATTGCACAGGAAAAGGCTAAAAAATATTCCTAAAAGAAGAGGTCTGGGTCCAAATGTCATTGGTTTTAATACCGACCATTTTAGTTATTACTGTATTTGCAGTGCCTTTCGAGCTTTGGGAGAGATCTGCTTTAAAAAGGGGAAGGTGAAGATTAAAAACATCATTTTGACTAAAACTGAACGTTGCGGCTGAATTTTAAAGAAGCAAAGGCGCTGTTCCCATAACATTATGCAGATACATGGATCCTAGGGAAAGCCTGACAGTATGAAAGGGTTTCATGACAACAGCTGAAGAACTTTCCGAAGGCGCTCACATGTCTCCAAAAGGGCAGAATCTTCTGTTTCAGACTTGTCATATTCCTTCATCAAAGCTTCCGCTTTCTGTACAGTTGTATCTCGAGCGTTTCCTTGGAGCCCTTCAAGGTACCGCAGCAAAATGGAAAAATACTTATCGGGGACCTTTAAGAAGAAAAGGAAGAGAATGTGAATGTACTGATCAACGAGCAGCCAGTTGTTCAATGGCTCTTGGCACATGCAAAGCAATAGACGGGCATGACGAAGGAGAGAATAACTTCTCTTGTATTTTTTTTCAATTGGAATGTTTTCATGGAGAACAGTGCTAAAGTCAAAAGATTTCACGCCTTAAAGCAGTTGGTTTGTGATGCAGTCCAGAACAAGTTAGCAGACTTTTATTCAGCCTCTTTTTCCCACATGGCAAGGGGTTGGACTCTGTGATTCATGAATACTGGTTTTACCAAAGGTGAGAGATAATGAACAAATTAAATAATACTGATGCTCAGAGCAAAGAAGACAAATATCAGGCATACCTTTTCTTTGTCATACATGTGTGTCAGGAGCCACGTTTGCCTCGTCTTCTGAAACTTCCATTCTTTGGGGTTCTCAGACCAGCTGCAGAAAAACAGGTGAAAACTCAAACAAATTAAGCAAGGTAAGATAGAAAGTAAACACAAGCTTGTATATTTGGGGTCAGCAAATCCCAAGACATACTCAGAGTAAACACAGGGGTCCTAGATTACAGAAACATTCTCACTCACTTAAAGGAAAGCTATTCAAGAGCTTAGATGTCATTCCCACCTTGACAAGCAGAAATGGACCCACCCACAGTTTAATCGGTGGCTTATATTTTTAGTTGGATATATGATCATTCAGGCCATGACTGATGCCAGGCACATAAGACTGATCCTCATTATGGTCTTGTCACCAAAAGGCAGCTGACAAAGAGAAATAGGAAGTCAAGGTTATGGAGAGGAGAGGATTCCATCTGAACATGAGGAAGAACTTCCTGACTGTGAGAGCCGTTCAGCAGTGGAACTCTCTGCCCCGGAGTGTGGTGGAGGCTCCTTCTTTGGAAGCTTTTAAACAAGGGCTGGATGGCCATCTGTCAGGGGTGATTTGAATGCAATATTCCTGCTTCTTGGCAGGGGGTTGGACTGGATGGCCCATGAGGTCTCTTCCAACTCTTTGATTCTATGATTCTATGATTCCTGACAAGAAACCATGGATTAGGGTTATGAGGATAACAGCAGCAAGGTCTAGGTTTGTGTGTCTTCCTGTGTCCTCACACCAAACCAGTTTCACAAGTCCCATTTTTTTTTTAAATTATTTGGCCCGATTGTTCTCTGGCCATAAAAAGAATTAGCTCCTCCTGGAAGTGCCCACAAATGGCAAATTACCTTCCTGGCCCCCTTAGTATATCGAATAACACTACCTCCATATTTTTCAAATTTCTCACTACGTTTGGAGTCCCCTTGTGGAGAGAAAAAGCAGAATATAAATAAATGCATTTATTTATTTACAATACTTAGATCCTGCCTTTCTCTACCCTGAAGGGGACTCAAGGCACCTTACAGTCAGGCAATAATTTAAAATGTCTTGACTGCATTATACAATTAAAATACATTAAAAATAAAAACAAAAACTAAATACATTAAAACATTATAAAACATTACTATCACTATAAGCCATACAATGTGCAATCATAGTCTGCAATCATGTAATCATCATCATCATTATCATCTTCATTATATAATAACAATTTTGTTCCTCTGTCATTTTTTGCACCAAAAGCTTTGTTTCATGTTGATCCTCATTTCAGTACACAGGTTAACCTTTCATGAGACTGAACTGGAAAATCAAATTCAAAGCATAAAGAAGGCAGACACTATGTAAATTAAATTCAAAATTAATTCAAAATACTTGCAAAAGTTTTCCAAAATGCCATACTTCAATGATTAAAACATACAGAAAAGGTTCCTGGCTCTGTATATGTAAACACTAAACTACGGACCAAGCAAATGTTATGGAAAAATAATGTGGTTTGAAAACCAATGCAACTGGCTGGGAGTTGAGTGGAAGTAAAATTCATCTTCTTATATCGTTGAAACAACATTTGAAAAAATAAAAATAAAATCTACTGTTGCCTTTTTTTCCTTGTATCACTGGGGAGAGAGTAAGAGTTAATTCTTACACAGAATGGTACTATGGGAGATACTGTGCTGGAAATGTAAATGTCAATACCTTAAAATTGTATATTCATGCACAAAGGGGGAAATCCAATTTTGTGAAGCTGTTCATGGAAGGCAGATAGTGCCTGATCTTAACTTGACACGAAAATATTTAAGCTCCAAAAATCCACTGGAAAGGAAATTCTACAAAAGTGCTAATGTAACTCAAACACTGTCAAGATGAATAGACTGAAAAAGATGACAAATTAAATCTATCCTGCCCTGGCAAACAAACTGCTCACGGCAATCACAAATGGGGCCAGGAGACTTTGATGAGAACTGCTGGACTAACTGCTAAATATGAAAATATCAGCCTTTGTTTCTAAAGTCCTTGAAATCACGAGAAAGTCTGCTAACTGGGCTGCATTTCCACCCAGAGTTCTTAAAGAAGTCATGGATATCTTAAACATGAATGAGAATGACACAGAGGAAGCAAACAATCACAGAACAATGCCTATTTTTGTGAGCATCAATAAGCCAGAAGGAAGTCAGGAGAATCCTGGTGTAAGGTTTACAGAAACTAGACCCAACACAATATTTCTTGCTGAAAAAAGGAAACCTGGCAAGTCTGTCCAACCTGTCTGTGGTTTTAAACTCAACTCTGGATATGCTCTTCCATCTAAGGCAAATGTGAAACAGTGCTGGAGACTTGTGAGGAGAAGGAAGGCTTATTCATTCAGGCTCTTGTTGACAGAAAAGGAGGGAGAACACAACAAATGTGGAAGTTGGACAAGAATTCCAACTCGCTACCATTCTTAGGAAAGCAGAAGTACAAGAGCTAAAAGGTAATTCTCATAGTGTTTTAAGGAGAAAAGTCAAACGCGGCAAGCCAAGGGGAACCCGACAGAGAAATGTGAGTAGAACTTTCTTAATATCACTCCCATCACTCAGGGTAGATCCAAAGTTCATCCTATGTAGAATATACCCAGTAAAATGGACATGTTAATCACAACCTGCCACACTGATTAATGCTGGGCTTAGCACTAAGGTTAAAGCCCACTCATGTATAGTCAGGGACTGAGAATGGCCAAATGACCAGCCGGTTCAACAAGCGAAGTCAAAGGGTAGTCTGAAAGGAAGGACATATGAATGAAATGTTGTCCCCAAGGCATAGATGAGTCCAGTGGAAGCTGAATGCTCTCTCTCCACAGCCCTGTGATGCCACAGTAATGCCTGGAGGTGTCTGATACAACTTCAATCCCAACTCTGTATGGGCTGCAGAGAGTCCTATCTGCCCAGGATGAAACTATTTAACAGACCTCATCCTGCTTCATCCTCTGCCAAGTGTGACACAAGACAGATAGATGTGCTAGCTGTTGTGCCCAGATGTCCGTGTTGTTTTACACCTAATTTGGATTGGCCTAAGGGCGGAAGTCAGTCTTCTTAGCCAGCGATGTAATGTTTAAGGGAGAAAAAGCAACATATTTTGCTTCCCTCCCACGACGATCCTCTTGTGGGGTGGCTACAGAAGGGGAAGAAGGGCCCCACGTTCTGGCAGAAGCCCTGTTCAAGCATGCGGGATCATTTACAAACAGGGCGGTTAATCCCTCTCATTTATACACATTTTTTTATGATCATCGGGCGATGGATATGTTACCAGCCTCAGGGGAAGGAACAGAAAAAAAGCATAATACTGCTTCATTTACTTCTTCCCTCGCAATACCACAATGTCACAAATGGCCTGATATGCGCATTAAAGATATTTTTGGATGGGAGGAGATCAGGTTAGATGGAAGAGAATCTGAGCTTGGCTAAAACTGACAGGTTATTTTGGATATTACTTATGGATTAAAAGGTTTTTGAGTCGGTTTCTTTTCTTCTTCTTCTTTACTTTGAAAGGATTTCCATTTGCCCCTTCTCTTTGGTTTCATTTGAATTATACAAGGAAAACAACATAGGAGAACATAACAGAGGAAAGGTCTCCCATTAAGATACCCAAGAAGAAAGTAATGTGCCCTGAGGAAGTTTATAAGCCCCAAAATTGAGTGGTTCCTCCCATTTCCACTGACACTTTTCATTTTTTTTCAAACCCACTATTTTATGAGGAATGGCTCAGGAAGCCAGTTTAGGAAAAGAAAGGTGGCATTCTTTATTTTTATTTTGCATCAAAAGCATTGCATAAATTAGTACTGTATAAAACTGATAAAAATAGGAGCACAAGCGGTTAAATATCTTTTGACCAAAAACGGGCAACAACAACGGCATTGTCTCTAGCCTCCAACAATTCTTCCTCTTTACATGCGGCAGGGCATAGTGGACATGCATACAGATGCGGGGTTGTCTGTTCTGCTCCACAGTCACACAAGGTGGGGGATTCTTTTAGGTAGTGTCATTTTGCCAGGTTGCCTTTTGATCTGCCCACTCTGCTTCTGAGTCTGTTCAGGGACATCCAAGTTGCCCATTCTTGGTTTGCCCCTGGAGGAAAACCCACCTATTGTCAAAGGTGACATGGTAACTATATTTAAATATCTGAAAGGAGGTCAAGTGGAAGTTAGAACCAGCTTGCTTTCAGTTGCTCCAGAGATTAGACTCCATAGATTCAAATTACAAGAAAATAAATTCGAGACATATTAAGAAGAGATTTTTGATGGTAAGAGTCATTCAGCAGTGGAAGAGACCTCTGCAGAAGATGGTGGAGTCTCCCTATTGGGAGATAGAAGTTGGATGGCCATTTCTGGGGCATACTTTGACCATGTGTTCATCTGTGGTGGTAGTTGGGCAAAGTGGACCTTGCAGTCCCTTCCAACTCTACATTTGCTAATCCTCAATTGTCTTTGATACCAACTCTAGGACAATTACCCTGTAAAGTCATTATCTCTAAAATCTCCGACACAAATTTCCAAGCCAACAGCAAAAGGACATTCTTAAGATCCAACCATTGTTAGAAAAGTGACATCATGAGAACTGCAGTCTTTCCAAGAGAACTATTCTAGAAAGAACTTTTGGAAGCATTTGTGCCCTGCCTTGAAAACATCACTCATGTGAAACCAGCCTAGAGAAGCCATGAACCCACACTGAACCCCAGGGAGGATTTTGTTTTGGTGTCACTAGGATGCCAAAGGTCCATTTGCAGCTTGGCATGTTTCATGAGGAATTTATATTTTCTAGTTACTGGGGAGGATCTATTTTAAGGGTTTTTTTGACCAGGCAACGACTCTGCAGCTGGCACCTTCAAGGAGGAGTGTCATCTCACTTAGCACTTCATCAGTTGCTCCATCTAATATGTATGAACAGATGTTTCTAATATAATTCTAGCTTGTATATACTTGGATTCTCAATTAATGGAGAAAAATGAAAACTTGGACTTGCAGTGGTCCGGTTCCAGGATCTTAGTCAACTGGAGCGAAACTTCAGGGAAAGGGAAAGATTTCTGGATGAACATTA